GCCTCGAACTCACAGAGATCCGCCTGGCTCTGCCTCCCGAGTGCTGGGATTAAAGGCGTGCGCCACCACCGCCCGGCAATTCTGGATTTCTTTCATTAACGATACTAAACCCCCCAAAGGGGACCCTGGTTCTGGTAACATATTTGGTGGCTTGTTTGGGAATATTACAGAAGCTCTTTTGTGCATGATAGGTGACCACAACTCCAAGACCTCGTTTATCTCTGTTGTCTTGGGGTCGACAAGCTGTTTGCCTGGTCCGCTGTCTTCTTGGGAGAAAAAAGCCTTTTTTCTTCTCTCCCAGGCTTCCTAGTGTTGTTCCCAGATCGCGACCCCCCCCCAGAGAGACCACCGAAAGACAAGCATACCAAAATGCAAAAGCAAGGCTTTAATTCAGGATATCCAAGAGCAATACAAGCCTAGGCAGGGACTTCGTTCAACACATCCAATGCAGTGGAGGCTGGAGGAAGTGCCCGGCCTGAATTGTGCACAGCTTTTAAAGGCAAAACCCACAAGATTACAATAGCAGGGGGTTTCCATACATGCTCATTTCTGATTGGCTCGTTTCTAGGGACTTTCCAGAAATCATTGTTTAATCTCACTTCTAAGGGGGTGGTTGCCCACCACTGTTTCTCATTGGCTGCCCTCAGGTGGGGACATTCTGTGGTTAAACAATCGCCATGGAGACCAGGATTGGGACATTCCATGGCCACACGGTCGCCATCACACGATTAACTTGCTATTCTGTAAAAATGGAGGAACTTTGGTCTCACACCAGGGGCTGTGGAGTGCACACACAGTTCTCTTTCTTGGGTTGTTTCCCCGTGTGTCTGTGGCCATGTGCTGGGAGCTAAAGAATGCTGTTTAATTCCTTATCTTCTCTTTCGGGGACAGGACTCTGTCTCCACCACTATTCCCTCGGAGAATCCGGGAGACTTTGGATCAGGTGTGCAAGAAGGGAGGGAAACACACACACAGGAGTTTGCTGCGGTTAGTTAAGCTCACGTGTCCCACCACAACTTCAGGTGGGCACCTGCTCTGTGTCGACTGCGTGGTCCCCAGGCAGATGCTTTTCTGAGTAACGTTTTAAATCATGATTGGCTGTTTTTTAACAAGTTGGTTTCTAAGGGACATGAATTTCTGCTAGCATGGAGGGCAGGGGAGGGTCACAGATCTGTTCTCAGCCACCATGCACGGAGGAACAAAGGGAAACCAAGGTTATACTCTCTGTTTCTCTACGCGGTCCCAAAGTAACAGCGTCACCTATGGGTCGTGGCACAGTTCCTTATTCCTTCCCTTCCCTTCATGGGATGCTTTTCTGGCATCTTATTTCCTAGATCAAAATCCAGATGACATCATTTGACGTGCCCAGTTACAATGCTGGTAAACCATACGGACTCTGCTTCCTTGGGACACCGCGAATTCCTTCCTCCTCCGTTTTTCTGCTTTGCTATCTGGGGCCTACACTCCTCCGGCGTTTTCTTCTGGCCCAGTTGTACCATGGCCTGCTATCTCCATGCTATACTAACTCGGGTGTTTTTTATTTTAGAGAAAAAGGATGGCTGTCCGCATTTAATCCATGAGGTGCCAAAATCCCACAGAAAATTATATCCTGGTGGGAGAATGGATAATGGATTATATCATGGCGCTGAGCTCACAGTGGTCATGGCGCTGAGCTCACAATTGTGACACAGGCATTCAGTCACACATCCCAATCTTCTCCATTTTTTTTTCCTTTCTTGGATGCTTAATGGGATTGTAGGAATAGGAGAGACTCTATTGTCCTGTGATAATAGGACAAGTATTCCCTTTATCAGACCAAAGAGGCAATCTCAGACCTCCACAGTGGGTTCTTTGGATTTTGACACACTATTTTGCATTATGCATTTGCTGGGTTCGGGGAGGACTTAAGAGTTTTCCCAGCCATGTGCCTCCAACACTGGCCAGCTACCAGGGGGAGCTGACATTTTTAAGGCCTGGAAAGCTCACGTGAATTTGCAGCAGGCTGGGGACCAGTCTTGGGAAAGCTGGAACGGAACCCAAAGAACAGATTGTCAGGTGCTAGACGAGCTGCCACAGCCACTGCAGGATCGGCCTGCTCAAGCTGGAAGCGGGAGGCATAAGCTCTTCAGGGTTAACGCCTGCTCTGTCTGCCAGGCATCTATCTCCAGGCCTGTTTCGGAGATAGAAAGCTCTTCCTCTCTGGGCAATCTTTCACTCCACACTTCTCTGCTTTTGCTTCTGCCCGATCCTGCTCTGGTGCCTGGCTTCTGTTTCCACTCTCCCGTTGCATTGTGACAGACATGCGAAAGAGAAAAGAGCAGGCTGATGCCATCTCCTTCCGAGTTCTTGTAGATGTTTCCTCGTTTTTGGCATTTGGTATTTTCTAAATGACAGGGACTTTGATTCAGTTCCCATGTGGTAAATTACAATGTGGCTGTTCTAATCCAGGTAGCCTTATTAATAGCCATCTGCCCATTGAAAATTCCTCCGGGAGTGTTTATTGTTCTAGCTTCCAGTCTAGATTGAGAAATGTGACGTGGACTGACAGGTTATACATTTAAGAGAAAGGGGTCAAAGGGAATGTTTAAGAGGAATATTGGATAGCCAACCTCCAGAGGAGCTGAGACCCTCCCTGACTTATATAACCACTAGAGGTCGGCTGACTTCCCTGATGCAAGGGTCAATATCTTCTCTAGGGGTTTTTTGGTTTTTTTGTGGCCCATTAAAACAAAGTTTGATAAGAAAAGGAGGGGAAGGAGAAGAAGAAGAAAAGAACATTGAGCTGGGGTCATGGAATACAGAGGAGGTGACCATCTTCTCGTGGGTTAGCAATCAGGCATCTGTACTGGCCTGTCCTTAGGGTCCTGACAGGATATGTCCTCAGCTGCAGCCACTAACAGCATACCCTACATGCATTTGCTAGGCTCCCTTATAAAAGGCGGGTCTTGCCCACCTCCCGTCTCTTTCTCTTCTGCTGCTCTTGTCCCCAGGGGCCAGTCTCTGCCCCCTTTTCTGTCCTCCTTCTCTACCCTCTTCTCTGTCCCTTCTCTCTCATGTGAGCCCTGTTGTGTGGCGTGACTCCTTCCCGGCGTTTTTAAATTATAACACCCTGTCTACTGGCTGTCCTGAAGCCTGGAGACGGTCCTGAAGCCAGGCTCACTGCCAACACTGAGCTTCCGGCTGAATGCGTGAGAGTGCCCATGCTTTCAGGGACTGAAGGACGCCTTCCTCCCCACCAGTGTGCCTATGCAGGGAACCACTACACATCCTTCAGGCTTTTCTCTCAGGACTGGAGAGGAAAGTTACTTCGGGGCTGTCCCGCCAACAAGGGCTTGAGTTTTGTCTTTGGGGCGAGGGCGGGGGAGGTGCAACCTGCCTCCCGCAGGTTCCCTGCCTGCTTCCCACTTTCATGAACTCTTCAGTGCCTTCCTCTTTCCCTCATCATTTTCAGCTTAAGCCAGAGCGGATGTTTCTCATTCTCCCATGATTTTTGGAAGTGGGTTCCTCATCTCATTTCCTCAGCTCTAACTTTCAGGAATGTGAATGTGAAGGCAATACAGACTCCATCTTAGATCACCTGCTGTACTCAGTTCCAGGAAGGACCTCAGGAAAGTGCCATGACAACTAGAACAGATACAGGGCAGTATGCTCCTGCAGACATCCTGTCTGTGGTTTATGGCCCTTGAAGATATCTAGATAATCCTACTGAGCAGTCCAGATAATCCCACTCAGCGAGTTATGGTTCCCCGACAAAAGTCTAACCCTATGGTTTCAAATGTGGTTTTGTGCCCAAAGTCTAGACCAACAGTTTCAAAAAATCACCTTGCCCCAAATCCCTTCCACCCAATCCCAAGCATGTAATTCCCGGCTTGTGGTTTTTCCCTATAAAAACTCTCTATACCTGGGCTCGTGGCCACTGCCACATTTCCTTCCATCTGCCGTGTGGTGGCCCAGGTTGAACTTGACAATAAAAGGATCCTTATGTGCTTGCATTGGGAACTAGCTCCTTGATGGTCTCTGGGGGGTTCACGAAACGGGTACAACATGAACACCATGTTTAATTAGCTTGTCCACTTTTTGAATATCAGAACTCTTCCTATCTTTTCTATTTTCTGAAGGTCTCCAATATTTTTCTTATTAGTGACCTGTAATGGTTTCTGTTTGTTTGTTTTATAGCCCAAGAACTGTTACCACCTGGAAATAGGAGACTTTGAGAGAGTTATTTCAGCTTTGACATTAGAGAACAGAACTGGTACTAAACTGTTCAAAGAAGACAGTGGCAAATGAGCAGCCAGAGCAAGGCTTCCAATGTAAGAGATTTTATTCAGGCTCTGCACTCAATTAGAGGTACCTACAACAGACTACAGACAAAACCAATTAGGAAGGGCTCAATAAAAGTGTTCAGAAAACAGTAACACAGAGAGGGCTCAGTCTTACAGATCTCAGACAAGCTACCAACCGGGTCTTAATTTCAGCCTTCATGTTGGGTGACAGAATTCTCAATTCACAAGGAAGAATCAATTTAAAACAAGGCTGTCCGTCGGTGTGGGGCCTAAATCCACGGACTCCCCGCCAAAACCCTGAGGACATTGTGACTGTCGCCTATCAAGCTAGTGCTGTTATGTATGCAGGGCGTATCAAAAGACTGAGAACCGTTTGTGGCAGTGGGGGTGGGGGAAGCAGGATACAGAATGGCCAGGAAAAAAAAATCCCTAAGCTCAAACAGTAGGTTGGGGGACGGGGGTGGGGGTGGGGGTCGGGAAGCTGGTTCTCATCAACAGGGCAGGCACTGGATGGAAGGAAGGCAAGCCTTACCTCAGCAGAGAGGCTTGCTCCACAGGGTCCAGAGGCTGGGATCTGTGAAGCCCTAGAGGAGCCGTGGCTTGCTTAAAGTTAGCTGCCACTAGGGCGTGTGCCTTAGGGCTCCTCAGCCGTGGGTCTTCAGCCCCTTGCGCTGCGGGTGGCTGGCATCGGTCAGGGCAGGGCTGCTCCTGGTGGCCTTGTAGCAGCGAAGGCAAGGACGGCAGTGTCCTAGGCCTCTAGTGGAGAGCCTTCTCTGGGAAAGTGGATGTCGGCATGACGGGGGAGGAGGGGTGGGGGTGGGGGTGGGGTTCTGTTGTGCTGGGACCTATGCTGGCCTGGAAAACTGGGGGATGATCTCACATACGCGCACTATTCTTGAAAGAGGTTGTCAAGTGTCGTGTAGGTTCAGGGTGCCTCCCAATCCCCCACCCTGGGCACAGGGAAGGTACTGGGGTTAGACTCTGGGGACCTGGTGCCATGGGAAGAGCCATCCGAATCTGAGGACATCATCTCCCGGAGAAATGATCTCTTGGTGGGCTTCTTTTTCTTTTTTCTAAGGGTCTCTTGCCTCGGCTGTTTCAAATTTCCAAGGTCGTCTTCAGTCACTGACCAGAGTGGGAAAGATTTACTTGTCTCTGCTTCTCCCCTAGAGAGAGAGACAGAGAGAGACAGAGGAGAGCTTGAGGCTGATTTCATGCACACCCTGGACTTGACAACTACGGTGTGTATGTGCAGAGATCTCCCACTCATCTCAGCAGAAGTATCTAAGCTTTGTCCACTGCCCTAGGTGTTGGACACTAGGCTTAAGTTCTATTCAGTTCATGTCCACATGTAGGAGCCCCACCCAGAAGAGGAAACGTAACCACGTGGACCCAGTCCCTACCCAGTCAGCCAAGACAGAGCTACCTCAAGCTCAGATGCCCCCGTACATGCTTCAGCACTGACCACTGTCCACTACAGATGCGCCAGCCTGGCTCTATCTCAGAGGAGGCTTCTCAAATTGTGTGGATCAAGGTGCATCATCAGAAACTCCCAAATGCCAACAGTGATGTGACTTTTCCTTGTATTTAATAGAAAAAGCACAGGCCTGCCTATGGGATGTCATAGATAGAGGCTTATTTAGAAGATGGACCCGACAAGGCTGAGTTAAGTAGTGGCTTTTCTACAGAGAAAGCATCCTGGGAATGCCGTGACGTCATTCTAGCCCACTCACTGTGGCCCACTGATTGGTCAGTTTCTCTTTTCCAGAACCTCCCGGCTGTGTGAAGAGCACTGAACACCTGGATGTAATCCTCACTTTTGTTTCACACTTCTGCATCTGTTATCTTGACCACCCTTGCCTCCACTCAGAACATTTTTGTTTTGGCTTTACCCTAAGTAACTCTACTGTTTCCAGTTCTTCTGGGAGATGTGAGAGAAAAAGATGATCTGGGAAAAGGCTCTTAGTTATTTTCCAACAGAAGATCCCATTATTTAAATTACTCTGTAATGGATCAAGATTGTATCACGGGTGATTATTTTCAAAGACTGGCACAAGAATCAGAAGGGAATTTCCAAGAGAAGCTTAAAAAAAAAATTGGCTCAAGCAGTAGGGGTAACGCAATAAAAAGGCTTTCCTGGATCCCCCACACAAACTATCTTTTTTGGTTGTTGTTCTGTTTTGGTTTTTTTTTTGTGGGGGGTTGTTTGTTTGTTTGTTTTGTTTTTTCGAGATAGGGTTTCTCTGTGTAGTTTTGGTGCCTGTCCTAGATTTCACTCTGTAGACCAGGCTGGCCTCGAACTCACAGAGATCCACCTGCCTCTGCCTCCTGAGTGCTTGGATTAAAGGAATGGGCACCACCACCGCCTCGCCCCACACAAACTGTCTTATGCAGTGTCAAGTCTGTGGGAGAACAGGTGCCTGGAGACATGGAGGCCACACCTCAAGGTTATCTGAACCAAGGAAATCTGAACTCTCATCAATGTCACTTCCACTGTTCCTCACGCTGCTGCCTCCCTTGAAGCTAAGTTGGTTCTATTTCATGTTTCTCCACTGGCCACCCATTAGCATTGATTGGCTTTAGAGCATACAGCTTCTTAGGAAGAGAAGGAGGTAGTGGGGGTTTTCCAGATGTGCTAAAAGCACAAGCGGAGAGAGACCTGTCTACCTGCCGGCAGGAGCTGAGGGAGGAGGAGAGGGGCCAAGACGCAATACATGGACAGCTTTTGCAGGGTCTGGTCATATGAATGAGTTAAGGCCACCTCCTAATGGAATTTTAGGCGGGCAATGATGAAGAAGCAGGGGTTACTGTTATGAAAAGAGGTAACAAATATGTTAGTAAGTAGGAAAAAAGTTACAAAGAGAATACACATATTTTCATTTTTTTTGCTCTCAGGGTTGTAAATGGGCAAGGGAGACTAGACACTGATGTGGGATATCTTTCTGTAGGCTGTAAATATGTGTTACTCCCATTGGTTAATAAATAAAGCTGCTTTGACCTATGGGAAGGCAGGATAAGAGTCAGGTAGGAAATCCAAGCAGAGGGACAGGGAGAAGAAGGGTGGAGTCAGGGGCAGACGCCATCCAGCTGCCCAAGGAGCAAGAGGCCAGCAGACTGCTAATGCCACAGCCACGTGGCAATACATAGATTAATAAAAATGGGTTAATCTAAGTTGTAAGAGCTAGTTAGTAATAAGCCTGAGCCACTGACCAAACATCATAATTAATATAAGCTTCTGAGTGATTGTTTTATACGTGGCTGCAGGATGCAGAAAAGCCTCCAGCCACAAGACACCTTGAAGTAAACTAGAAAAAGTTGCCTCTGAGAAATGGATTCCAATAGAATCAATATGTCCCCCACCTTTTTACATTTAAAAAATTGCATGTATTTATGTATTTATTTATTCACTTTCATGTGTATGGATGTTTTGCCTGCATGTATGTCTGTGTACCACATGTGTGCCCAGGCCACTGTGGAGGCCAGAGGAGGGGATCAGATCCCCTGGGACTAGAGATGTGGATAATTGTGAGCCACCATGTGGGTCCTGGGAATGGAACGTGGATCCACTGAAAGAGCAGTGAGTGCTTTTAACTGCTGAGTCATCTCTCCAACCCCATGTTTCCCACATTTAAAATATGTTTTGCAACTGTTATACATGATACGGAAAAACAATAGAGCTTTTGGTTTTGAAAAAAAAATATAAATCAACACAGCAGATGAAAAAAATCTAGAGGAATGCATACCAAAATACTGTGCTCATTTTTGACATGTTAGGCTGTGGATTTAAAAAGGTTTCCCAGTTGCCTTTAATTTATAAGTAATATTAATCACACATTAATTTTGGGAACAAGAATAAAACAAGACAAGTTGTCATGATTAGGACAAAAAGCTTTGATCAGGAGAAAACATTTTTTAAAATTCATTTATTTTTATTTTTTTTGAGTGTTTTGCCTGCAAGTATTTAAGTGCACTGTGTGTGTGCACTGCCCAAGGAGGCCAGAAGACCATCCGGCTGGAGATTGGCTTGCCTCAGTCTACAAGGGTGCATCCTCCACATAGGGCTGATGTGGAAGCTCCTACCCCTGGCCTCCCCCTACACCTTACTCTGCTTCTTGGCCACAACCACTAAGGAGATAGGAAGGGCTGTCATGACCTCATGGACATAAGCCATAACCATGACTAGACGTGACCCATTCAATGACTTTCTTTTGTTCAATTTCACACTAAAGAAGCATTAAACTAGGTGATGGATTAATTATTTTAGGTTATAGATTTGGTTGAATACAAGGTTAAACGTCTCTTATCCAAAATATTTGGAACCAGAAGTGTTCCAGATTTTGGATTATTTGTATCTATGTAATGAGACGCCTTGCAGAGGGAACCTGAGTCTAAACCATGAAGTTCAGTCTGTTTCTCACACACCTTTGTGCATCCTGTGTGAAGCTGATGTATACTGTATCTTTGGTGGCTCTGAATTGTGACTGTAGCCTAACACGTGAGTCAGAAAGTGTGAAGCTTTCTGCTCGTGGCATTAGGTTTGTTTTAAAAAAGGTCTGAATTTCTGAGTGTGGCCGTTTGAATGAAATGGCCCCATAGGCTCACAGGGACTGGCACTATGAGGTGTGACTTGTTGGAGTAGGTGTGGTGTTATCGGAGGAAGTGGGTCACAAGGGGGCTTTGAGGTCTAAAATGCTCACGCCAGGTCTACTGTAACATTCACTTCCTGCTGCCTGCTGATCCAGATGCAGAACTCCCTCTCCAGCACTGTGTCTGCCCACCATGAAGATCATGGACTAGACGTCTGAACTGTAAAGCCACTTTCAGTGAAATGTTTTCCTTCGTAAGAGTTTTCTTGGTCATGGTGTCTCTTCAGAGCAATAAAACCCCAACTAAGTGAGCCTGCTGGATTTTGGATTTTTGGATTAGGGATGCCCAAACTGCAATCCACCGAACAGGATCAAAGCGTGCACAGTGGGGTAGAATGAGAAGCCAGGCACTGTGTCTTAACTGGCTCTTTAGAAGGTTCTGGTCTCACTTCCAGAGAGAAAGTGCTGAGAAGCCATGATCAAGATTTGCCAATATCCTGGTTCTCTTGCTGGCCCCCAGAGGCCTCTTTTCTACATTGTTCCAAGTGTCTCTTTTGCTCTGGAACAGGCACCAGACAGATGTTTCAGGGGGATAAGAAGGCCTCTGAATTGACAGCTGAAGGAACTGAAGATCGAGAGGTTGATACCATGGGTCTCAGAGTCTCTGCGACTCCTGAGGACACCTTAGCATTCTCTTGAAAGTAGGAAACGGCCTCTGTCCTAGGGACAGACACAGGACATGCACAGGCAGAGGTTTCGGCTGAACTGCTCATTTTTCAAGGCTTGGCTCCAGGATAGAAAATGGGGCTCTCGTCTGCAGGGATAAAGAAATGACGAGATGTCCTAACTCACTAATTTCAAATGGTCCAGCTCCCTCCCAGGGAAGGAAGCATTGTCTGGAGAGACTACGTCAGAGTGAGGGAAGTGACGTGTCCCTGCGATGTCAGAAGCGGCCCTTGATGGCCCTTGATGTTTCAGTCAATGAGTTCATTACCCTGCTGCTGAGAAGGCAGAGTGAGGCTGTTCCCCACCATCCAGGAAGGAGGCTAAGTCACTTGGGAATCGCCCCTCCCACGGAAACATGTGCCTGAATCCATGGGAAGTCACCAGGCTGCTCCAAGGAGAGACAATGGGAGACTAATGCTGTGTGCAGCCGGGAATAGTGAGCTGACCACAGACTCAAACAAACCACCTCCGAGGCCTGGGAAAGTCGTCTCTTCGGCAGTCTCACACAGGACAGTGTCCCTAGGACCACACAGTGGCAATCAGGCAGCGAGAGAAGCCGATCCCTTCCCCTCGGGGGGCCTGATTTTTCCTTCCCATAAGATGGATTTTTCTGGAGCTCAAAGAAAAGGATTAGTCCTATGTGGCTTTCCTGCAATCACGTTTGGAATGTTGTCACTACTGTTGCTATTATTGTTATTCCAATTAAGAAATCACACACCCTCTCAAGAGAACATCTTTCTAGAGGGCTGACTTGCCCTGGCCTTGCTCTGTTAAGTGGGCAGGTAGACTCCAGCTCTGCTAGAGAGGTTTGCTACAGGACGCCAGGTATGTGGATTCTGCTCAGACCTGCCAGACACCCCAGTCTGGAGATAGCTTTGTGACACCACCTGGCTGAGGTGATTTCCCTCCGGGGAGAAAACTAGAAGCCAGAACATCAAACCCACCAGGCGCTGCCTTCCCCTGCAGCACAGCAATAAGAGACCACAGCCCTCTGACAGGAAGGAACAGGACCCCCAAAGAGGTAGCCAGGGAAATTCCTGCCTCGGTGAGGGCAGAGGATGCTGGATGGGGGGGTTGCGGTGGTGGGGAATTCCTACTGTTCTGCTTGCTTCTTAAGAGCTCCTGAGATCACGTGAGAGAAATGACATGTTTTCTTGAGATGAATGTTCTAGACTAGTGAGAGACTATTTTCACTCAGAAAGAGGATGTATGAAGCCATAGAACATAGAGGAAAGCTTGGGGACACAGAGAGGAAGAGGGAAGGAAGAGAAGGTGGGTCCCCTCAGAAGACACACTCTTAGTGGGTGGCACAAGAGGAAAGAAGCAGCCAGGACCCATGTCCACACATCTCCTGAGGCAAACCAAGGGATGCTGGTGTGGTCCCTTGAGAGCTAGACTTTTGTTAACATGGTGACGTATTTTGCAAGCCAGTCTTATTAAAGGTCTCCAAAAGTCCCTCAGCTGTCAAGCATGGGTTGAAAATGGAATACTGCACAAACTGTAGTCAGTTAGTTTTGATCTTAGTGTTCCTCTGAATAGTCTCCTTCCCATCTTTCACTGGTTATATCCTCCATCAAGGACTAGGAGAGGGATCTTTCTGCAGGAAATGCTCTGTTAGTCACAGCTGAAGGCCTCAAGAAGGAAGAGAAGAGGGTGAGATGACAGAGGCCAGCATGTTGTACATGTTGGTCTACCCAGGTGTCTGGAGGTGAAGGGCCCTGGCTGATCACCCCTGAATTTGATAGGCACAACTGAGTCAATACCAGAAACTAATGTTCCGTTGAAACTAATGTAGCTGTGGTACATTTCTTTAATGACACAGGGACATGAACATGAGAAATCAGGATTCTCAATAATGGCCTCCTTGGTATTAAGGCCCGAGGATTTATTACAGACATCCAAAAGGAGATGGTACATGATGGTGAGTGAGAATTAGGTACCAGTGGAAGACCTAAAAGAAGGTAGATACTAGAAAACAGCTACATTCCATTCTTGTATTCAGCCCTGGTTATAGAAGTGGAGACAGATTCTGCTCTGGAATTAGTAGGCTGAAGACGACTCCTGCTTAGGAAAAGTAAACATAGCTTGTTGCTCCTAGGAAGGCATTGAGAGTGAGACCAAAAAAAAAAAAAAAAAAAAAAAAAAAAGGGAATTAGAGAGTCAATGAATCTATCTCCTGTGTGAGCCCCAGAGGAGAGAGTAGATAATTAGTAGCTAAGAAATTTAAAGGAGGCCCAGGGAATGTGCAAAACAAAGGCTTTTCCTTCATACAGAAAGATATGAATTTTAATTAAAAAATGATTAATGATAATGTTCAGTGAAAATAGTCAATACCTAGACTAATATTCATGTTCTTTTATCATGGACTAGAGTTAAAGATATTTATCTCCAAAGGTTCATATGCTATAGGGTTGGCCTTCAGTGTGGCCATGTGGAGAGGTGATGGGTCCTTTAGAAGGTGAGACTCAGTAGGAGAAAATTAGGTCACTGGGGACTGGCCCCTTTAAGACATTATTGGGTTCTCCTGGGGTGAGCAAGTTGACAGACAAGAGCAAGTCTAGCCCCTCCATGGTCTCTAGTTTCCTCATCTTACTATGTTTTGACCCTTTACTCATAGGATACTATCTGCTATATTCTGATAGGACCAGAAAGGCCCTCACCAGAGGCCAAATGGATGGAGTCACCCGACCTTGGACTTTCAACCTTCAAAATTGAACTATAAACATCTTTCTTCCTTTGAAAAGTTGTTAGCCTCAGGCATTTTGTTATAGCAACAGAAAGTGGACTGAGACAGGCTAGCCCAAGGGAAATTTTCCGGGATGAAAATCTACACAAGATGTGACATGGCCGGTCACCTTAGTACATGCAAGAAGCTAGCTAGGTACCAGGACATTTCATGGTAGTGGGAATGCTTGAGTCCAATCTTGGGATTTCCCGGGTGGCTAAGGAATAGTGTTCTGAGAAAGTAACACCCAGTTTATGCAAAGCACAGAGACCTAAGAAAGCGTGGTGTTGGGAAGTAGTTAGTATGCCCTGGTGGTTGGTTAGAAGTGACTGGGAATAAGAGATACTAGGGAGACAGGCAGCACCACACTAATTAGAGGTTAAAATAGGATGAGAGGAACCCAGATGGGGGTGAGATCTGAGGGTTAAGTAAGGGAGATGATACAAGAACCTTTTGCACTCAAAGAAATTCAATCAGTTGAGGCCCCCCCCCCCACCGGAACAAACAAGCCTGGGTTTGGGGGCAGGCCTAGATGGGAGCAACTTGGAGCTTCTGCCCAAAGCACTGAGCTACAACAGAGCTAAAAAAAAAAAAAAAAAAAAAAAAAAAAACGATCTCCGAGCCTGGATCACAGCGACTTGAAGGCAGATGGGCTGTGGTGAATGACTGGCAGATGTCCACTTGGACAATTCCGTGGAAGGAAGAGGAGCTGAGACAAGGAGTCCGGGGTTGGGAGAAGGTGTGGGGACTGAGTTCAGTCTGCGCAGACTGAAGTGGAACTCCTGTAGTGTCAGGTGGAAATAGTCATGGGAAGCTGGGGGAGTGGCTTGTTGTGAAAAGACTTGAGTTCAAACTCCTGACCACTACGTAGAAGTTGGGTGTAGGTACACGTGCCTGCAACCCTAGTGTTGAGCAGTGGAGACTGGGGATCCTGGGAGCTCACTGGTCAGCCAGTGAGAGATTCTGCCTTTAAAAATAATGTGGAAAGTGATAGAGGGAGAGACCCAATATCCTCTTGTGGTCTCCATGTACATATGCATGGGCATCTACACACACACACACACACACACACACACAGTTCAGTGGGCATTTGGGAGTAATGCCAATCCCATCATGCAGAATACCTACACTGTGCCAAGCATAGCCATCAACAACCTCATCTGAGACCTATAGCCCCTTGTGCGGCAGGCTATGGATCTAAAACTCAGGTTCCAAAATGTCCTTTCCATTGTAGCTATCTACTACAGTTGCCCATTACACACACCCACGCAGCTTTCCTAAGGACTCACTGTGGGTCCATTCTCGGGGGTTATAACTCTGATGCAGAGCCACAGACTGGGTTAGAGGAAGAGACACGGGGTCCTTGGTGTGAGTGGCATCATGGAAGCAATGGTGTTCATACAATGAGGCAGAGAGAAGACCCAGGGAGCCATGGCAGGCTTGAGAAGGCAGGTTCAGAAGCCAAGTGCCATCCCGAGAGCAAGCAGGGTCAGGGTGGGCAAAGCCTGAGGGGGGCTGGGACACATGTGAGGTCCCAGTTGGGCTCTGTGGAATCCCTTCCTGGTAAGGGGTATAGGGAAGACTGATGTCCATGTTGAGGGAGGGAACTGAATGGAGACAAGGTTATCCAAGTCTGCAGAAGAGACCGGAGAGAAGGGAAGTGTGAGTTAGACCACACTACAGTTATGGGGGAGGAGGCAGGGACAGATAGGGAGGAGGGAAGAGGAAGGGAGGGAGGGAGGAAATATGAACAGTCACACATACACACACACACACACACACACACACACACACACACACACACACAGTGGGTAAATTCAAGGGAAACTTGTTTTTCCCTCTGAGGTGAAGGTTTCATGGGGGAAGCTGAGGAGAGAGGATGGTAGGATGCAGTGGTCACCCACGGAGTAAGGACCCCGGGCATGGAGGAATGGGCCTCCAGAACTGGCGGGCAGATCAGTTTTCATCAGGAGGAGAGACACTGATATTTTTTGACACCACAGAGAAAGGTTAGGAGTCCCATGTGCCCCAAACTGCGGAATACAAAGCCATTTCATTTCTGCAATGAAGGTGAATAAAGGCCAGAGGCTACCCACAGAATGAAAGGTTCACGAGCCCCGAACAACACGTTCACTCTGTGGAACCGGAAGGTGCTTCCCGGATCCCCTCATCACCACCCTTGCTCGAACCTCACATTTGCTTCTCCTTTATGTGCCTTTAACGCCAAGGTCATGGTGCTGTGACGTCAGCCTTGCCCTTGCTGGCGCCACGGACTTGGGTTTTGTCTGCTCTTCCACCTCAAGTCTTTCTTATTGACACTGGGCCAGTCTGCCTGCACATCTCTCAGTAATTCCACTGTGTAGACCCAGGGAACCCCAAATCACCCACCCACCCGCTCCTCTGGTAAGCCACTTCAGTACCTCGCTTCTCTCTCCCTATATGGAAGGGACAGTTAGGGGACCATTCCCAAGTGAGGTTTAATTAGAAGGCCTTGAATCCTTACACACGAAAGGGGCATAATCACTCCTTTTCATGGCAGGATTGAATGCTTCTATGAAGGGCCAGTGAAAATAATGTTGACTCTGAGATTAGAACAGAATGGAATGACCAACGGCGTTCAGTGGTAGGTTGATTGACTAATGGTCGCAAGACTGAGCCTTCCATCTCTCCTCTCCTCCCCTACTACTCAGAAGGTGTAGATCTCAGCAAGGGAATAAAGACGCAAAGATATGAGGTTGGGTGTACTCACACAGCTCGGTCCTTCTCAACTGGGGATGCTTTTATCTGGGAGCAAGAGAGAGCATACTTGTTTTGGCTGATCTTTATAAGTGCACTCCGAGGGCAAAATTCCTGTAATCACACCAAAAGAGGTCACGTCATTTGAACCCAGGAAGTCCCCAATTCGTGAACAATTTTATTCCAGCTCAAGCTGTTATCACTAGCTACTAGTCATTACCCCATTTGGGGGGCCACTCAAGAGAGCGGGTTAAGTTCACTTTGACTTACAAATCTTTGCTGAATAAAAATCAATGCTAATTCCTCTGTCATTCATCTAAATTCTAGGTCAACTGCTAGGCCTGCTCAGGTTAGTCTCTCTCTCTCTCTCTCTCTCTCTCTCTCTCTCTCTCTCTCTCTCTCTCTCACACACACACACACACACACACACACACACACACACACACACACTTCTATCTTGGTTTCAGCCTCAGCCATCTCTTTCTGAGATAGCTGTGACCATGACCCTGTCGCTGAAAGTCCTGCTTTCCCTTGTGAGGTTTCCCAGAATCTTTATGAGAATCTTCAATGTCCTTTCCCCTGACTATAGCTTTCTGGCCCCCAGGGACTTCCTGCCCTGTGGGTCAACAACAAAGTCACTCCCTGGAATTTGAGGCCTTTCTTGAGGTATCTCAGACCATCTGCTATATACCTCCCCCCGCCCCTGAGGCATGCCTCAGGACATCATTTCACGCATCCCTGGCTTGTTTCTTCCCCTGTAGACATTCTCAAGCAGCACTACACACTGGGAATGCTCATTCAACCAACAGACCATGGGGTGGCAGGGGAGGACAAGGCTGAGAAAGGCCCGGGAGGTGCTTGTATCTAAGGACTTGCAGAGGGGCCCAGGCAGGAACAAGAAGACTCACACACAGAGTGGTACTGAGGCTGGGGAGGTGTCTCAGGGGATAAAGAGATTGTTGTACAAACAGAAGTGGAGTCTGGACCCCTAGAACCCACGGAAACATTGTGTACACATGGCAGCCCATCTGTGATCCCAGCACTCTACCCAAGGGCAGAGACGGGATCCCTGGCTAGCTAGACTAGCTGAATGCGTGAGCTCCAGATTGAGCCCTGGCTTCCACATACATCTGACCATGCATACAGACACATACATACATACATACATACATACATACATACATACATACACACATAGAGAGAGAGCCCAGAGTGAGCCTGTCCAGCTGTCAACTGCAGTGTGACAAGGCAAGCCAGATGATCCTCCCATAGAAGCAAGGAGACCACAGTGCTCTGAGAATGAGTAGAGTCCAAACCACAAGGGATGCCTGAGTAGTAGTAGGAGGAGTGAGCAGACAGCTGCGTCCCCTCAGGGCTCGGCCATCCTCAGCCCAGGGGGAAAGCCCTTGTCTGGGAGGACACTTACTCGGCGGTTGTTACACTTCAACACTGTATAGAATTTTTCCGAAGGCACACTCTGATTTGGAAGGGCTATGACAATGGCGGGGACATAGAAGTCAAATCCTTTGTCTGTCACGATTTTGGCAAACACATAATCCCCAACCTGTAGAAGAAAGCACATGCCACAGCAAAGAATTTGCTTGCAGAGATCACACATAATTTAATATAAGCTCGTTTTCACAATAGTCACTGATGACTGGCAGGTACTGGTGATAAAATTCTAATATCGAGCTTTAAAAAAAAAATCAGACAAGAAAGGGTTCCACAATTCTCTGAGTTTATTGGGCCATACCTGCAATTTTGTGAGCACTTTGGAAAACCCAGTTTTGGTAGGAGTTTGGCAACTGACAGTCAGCAAGATGGTTAGTGTAGCATGAATTTTAAAAGTTCTTATTAATAAAATCAAACCTGAGGCCAGTTATTGGAGTGAACACTGGAGGATCAGAGAGACAGAACAAGCCACAGCTAACCTCACCTGGCCAACTTCTCAGCTGATCTTGTTTCCTCAGACTGGAAGCCTCTGTGTCTTCATATCCAAATGGCTCTCAGCTGAAATGTGCTGCTCGAAAGCCTGAAAGCTTAACCAGTCAAATGCTTCTAGTTTCTGGTCCTCACGCCTTATATACCTTTCTGCTTTCTGCCATCACTCCCTGGGATTAAAGGCTCGCTTTCTGAGATTAAAGGCATGCATCACCATGCTTGGCTGTATCCTCGAACACATGGATTTCTGCTTCTGGAATGCTAGGATTAAAGGCATGTGCTACCACTGCCTATCCTAAGTCTCTAGTGGCTTTTCTGTTCTCTGACCCCAGATAAGTTTATTAGGGTACACAATATTTTGGGGAACACAATACCATCACAGGTTAGGGTTCTGAAACTCACAGAGATCGGTAGAAATAAAGACTGGGGCTGAAGGAGTGTCCAGGGTGTTTAATATAAAGAGACGGGGACTGTGTCCCCAGTGTTAGAAGGGCGGTCCCCCAGACACAGGAAAAGAGTGGGTTTGGTGAATGTCAGTCCCAGCACAGACATGGAATCCACGGTGAGGGTTACACAGAGGTATAGATGATTTTGCAAAGGGGCACAGTGAGGCTGCCGGGTCCCTGTCAGTCACCAGGAGGAACATGCAGGAGGTGTGCTATGGGTCTGGTCCAGGAAGTAGGAACAGACCAAGGATAACCCACACGATCCCTCCCTGTCTTGCACCACGCAGGAAACAGCAGCCCTGGGGCTTGAAAGGCTTTTCTTTTGGGCCTTGTCCTCCCATATCTGGGTGTCAAGACAGTGGCAGGCGGATGAACCGGGCACGGTGTAGGGCTTATTCATTTATAATCAGATGAGAATGTATTCGTCTGTCTCATCCGTGGAAGGCACACTCGGAGTAACTGCATTATGACATCACAGGTTGGCAGCGGCTGACTACAAGGTCACAGGAATCACTAGTTCTGTCCTTGATATAATATAATGCAGCCTTCTGCAGTGAAAGCTTCAGGAACACTGGGAGCCACACAGTTTCCTTCCCCCTTGTGACAAGTGTCACAAGATATTAGATGAGCCACTAGACACAGTGGACGGCTACATTAAGAGGGAGTTGGCACATCAGTCACAAGCAGAGACACTGATTGCCAAGTGATAGGAACTAGAAACTGGCTGCTGCTCTTCCTGCCCAGACAAGCGCCCTACAGGAGCCCAAGAGGGCCACATAGGGACCTTTGCCATCCTCTGTAATCCAAGACCCTGTGGACAGTATAAAGCAGCGGTCCTCAAACTTCCTAATCTGCGACCCTTTAATACAGTTCCTCATGCTGTGGTGACCCCCAACCATAAAATTGTTTTTGTTGCTACTTCATAGCTGTGATTTTGCTACTGTTATGAATCGTAACATAAACATGTGTTTTCCGATGGTCTTAGGCGACCCTTACGAAAGGAGAGTTTGCCCCCAAAGGGGTCCTGACCCACCGGTTGAGAACCAGCCGTAATCAAGGGTCCCAGAAGGGGTCAGAGAGTAGGTACCTGAAGTTGTGGGCAGGGCATGGCGCCCCCAATGGGTGTGATGAAGGAGATGGGCACAATCGTGGTTTCTCCATACCTGAAGTCTACCAGCACGTGAGTGGGGCTCACACATTTCTTCACAACCCCTGGAAGGATCAAAAGAAACAAAGCACGATGACAGCCGCGGTTCTGCTCCACCCCGTGGTCTGTGCTGAGTCAAAGCACAGGCCTCTTTAAATCAGCACACCCCTTTGATCCCTGCAGGGGGAAACGTCCGATATAGTCCGATGCCTTCTGGGGCTGAACACAAAGCGGAGGAATAAAATGTTCTGGTTTCAGAGGTGAAGGAGAGCCCACTCATGCAGCACCAGCAGTATCCCATCCTGCTGACTGTTCTAGGAACAGCTTCCTACCGGGCGCCCCCCACCACACACACACACACACACACACACACACACACACACACACACACAACCAAATATTATCTATTTATTCTAGTCCTGTGTCCTTCTACAGAGACTGAGTGTAGGCACTGTTAAATTGTGAGAGTAAAGAGGAAATATAAATGCCCACCTAAATCAGCTTTTCATTTGATATTAGATAAATGAAAAGGTCGCCAGGCTGAACATACCCCATGGCTTTGGAAGAAAAAAAGAAGCAGCCACAAGTAGTTTGTCTTTTCATTATAGGTAAAGAGAACGTTACACATATTTTTCAATTTTTATAATTTTATTTATTTAGAAACAGGATCTAACTTTGTAGCTCTGGCTGGCCTAGAACTATCTATGTAGACCAGGCTAGCCTCTGCATCTCAAGCATTGGGATTAAAGGCATGTGCCGCCATGTCTGGCCAATTTTATATTCTTCACTTTTGCATATTGTTGTGCTGAGGACTGAACACAAGGACGTGTACATTTAAGGTAAGCACCTGTGACTGACAAAGTGTAGTGTGTGGTCCCAGACCATCGTCACAACAGTCTTACCCGCAGTCTAACCATTTCAAATCCTGTGTGGAAAGACAGGGCAGCTGAGGTGCAGGCGAGCTGAGTGACTGCAGGCAAGCAGCTAATACAGGAGAGGAAATTCAGGTGAATAAAAGCTTGGGGCTAGCTGGCTAGAAACATTTAGAGGAGTATCCCACCGCCGTCCCTTGCTTATTTTTTCCCCATCGTAACTTGTACCTATGACACAGGGCAGGAATCACTATGAATTCCCTGGTGAAAAATCCTTTTTTTGTCATTGGAAGAATGACCCAGTTTCCATAAGTAATGATCTCATCATGTTTGAAATGGGTCTTCCTCCTTGCCTGTCAACATCTGGACAGGACAGGCCACCCATCAGCTGGCCACTCTCACCCTGCAGGAAGCAGTCATTTTCCTCCTCGACTCCTGGGATAGATGTGGCTACATGGGAGTCCCTGAGATGATCCTGAGGCTAGCAGTAACAGCCAGTCAGGCTGAGTGTACACCAGTGGAGATGTGTTTTCAGGCAATGGGCACCCAACTCTTTCTGCTGATTTAAATCAGACCTTTTCATGAGGAAGGATTAGGATTTAGACCAACAGTCACCCAGTAAGAGCCACCAATAAATTGTCTATTAGAACCTATTTGGCCTTGTTTTTTAAGAGGAGAAATTACAAACTCATACCAACCATATGGTCCAAGTTGCCATCACTAAGAAGGACAAATGGACATCATGTGCTTCTGGACAGGATGACACCTGAGTGACATCACCAAGGTTGTCTTCTGGGCAAGAATGTATGTGTTGAGTCTAAGCTAAACAAAACCAAGTAAGGCCATCCTGTAATTAATTAAGGCCTTACTTTTAATTTTAACATCATGAAAGTTTACTGAAGAGATTAAATAAAAATTCTAGATTAAGGGGCTTTGTGTGGTGGTGCACACCTTTAATCCCAGCACTAGAGAAGCAGAGGCAGGTGGATTTCTGTGAGTTTGAGGCCCGTCTAGTCTACAGAGTGAGTTCTAAGCTACTCAGAACTACATAGTGAGACCCTATTTATATAAAACAAAAACAAAGACAAAACAAAAACCACCACCAAGGGTATGTTAATCAAATGTAACACGTGACTCTGAATTTGTCAGCTTCCCTGAAGGTCATTTTTATTGTGGTTCCATCAGGAGAGTGCCTGCATTTTTGAGAAAGAGAGTTGTGATGTGTGATGAGTGCTACCTAACCTCTAATCCTTTGATAGTTCAGAAAAGGGGTGTGCGTGCGTGCGTGCGTGCGTGCGTGCGTGCGTGCGTGCGTGCGTGCGTGCATGCGTGTCTGTGTGTAGGAAGGGAAAGTGAAAATGTGAAAAAATAAAAGACTCACAGATAATAAAATGGGACAAAATGCTAAAAATTAGTAAATCTGGGTAAAAGGAATTTAAGAATTCACCACTGTGGATGCCAGGGTCACGGCCCCATGAGCTTCTGGGAATTCTCCTCTATGTCTCCTGTCTCCCTGTGGGAGTGCTGGAGTTCCAGACATGCACTGCTGCCTCTGACTCAATGTCAGCTCTGGGGACCTCAACTCCGGTCCTCACACTTCCATGGCAAATGCTTTCCCCACGGACCAACTCTGCAGACTGCCATTTAATTGGGTGGCGTGAATGTTTATCGACTAGCCGCAGATCAAAATTACGGGTTCTGTAACTAAATTCGAATGTTTATTTCCTCCACGTCGACTTACTGGAATTCAATCACAGCTGCAAATTGAAATGTTTTGATTGGGCAGCCCACAGGCAGTTATGAGGATGCTTGTTGGCTCCCATTACACATTTAAGAACAAACTGCCGTACGGTCTCAGGTACTCTCTGTCCCCCAGCCTGGGCCCACACAGTGGTGATGCTGGGCAAGTCTGAGCCAGTCTTCACTCCCCTGGAGTCCTGGCCAGCAAGCAGACCCTAGTCCATAAGCCATCCATCTGGAATGCAGTCCTACATTACGCTTACATGGCAGATTCACACAGGATCCTCCCCATGGCTTACATTCAGAAACTCAAGATTCTCACCAGAAGGCGCCTCTTGTGATCCCCTCTCAGCCCCAAGTGAGGGACGCTTCCCACCCACACCCAGCCCAGCACCCCGGCACAGCACTTTGATGCTTCCACACAGGAGCTATTTCAAATGCCTGACTCTGCATTTCCTTTCATCCAGTCAACTCCAAGTTCATTTGCCAGATATCAAAGAAGACATCTTAGTCAATAGTTCTATTCACATGCTGACCGGAAGCCAACTGTTTTGCTGAAGTTCTTTCTCACTACCTAGAGAGATTAGCTAAGTAAATTTGATGAATGGCTCGACTTCTGCACTTGAATTTTGTGTTTCTTATGGGGTTCTCTAGGTTTTCTCCAGTCATCTTTTGCCTGTTCACCCTGCCCATGTTTCCGTGACAATCCTTATGTTGATGTCTCCAGACTCTCCGTATCGAGAGTCCCTTTCCAGACCCCAGACTCCAGTGGCTTCTCTAATATTTTCTGTTGCGCATCTCACAGGCACCTGTAGTTCGTATTTTAAGCACATATCCACGTCTTTCCATCCATGCCACTGAGTCATCTCTCCAGCCTTTCTCCCAACTTTAAATGTGACTTTCCGATGCCCTGAGAGCAAGGGCAAACTCCTTAAAAGTACCTGCTGGGAGTGATCCCATACTAACCTCCCTGAAAAGCTTTTACGCTGGTTAGATTTTATCTCAACTTGACACAAGCTAGAGTTATCAGAGAGGAAGGAGCCTCAGTTGAGAAAATGCTCCATAAAATGAGGCTGTAGGCAAGCTTGTAAGGCATTTTCTTAACTAGTGATTGATGTGGGAGGGTCCAGCCCATTGTGGGTGGGGCCACCTCTGAGCTGGTAGTCCTGGGTGCTATAAGAAAGTCAGGAAGAGCAAACCAGTAAGCAGCATTCCTCTGTGGCCTCTGCATCAGCTCTTGCCTGTGGGTTCCTGCCCTGTTAGAGTTTCTGTCCTGACTTCCTTAAATCATGGACAGTGATGTAGAAGTGTAAGCCAAATAAACCCTTTCCTCCTCAACTTGCTTTTGGTCATGGTGTTTCACTGCAGCAATAGAAACCCTGACTAAGAAAGCTTTATTGGTTCCCACTGTTCTCTTGTGTTCCTGGTCCCAGCCAGAGGTACTTTTCTGTCTCCCGACACAGGATCTTTAGTTATCTCTAGCTCTTATCAGATACTGTTTTCACTGTCTACAAAGCCCCTTCTACACCCCCATTCCCTGTGGAACGGATCAGGCTGGTTCCTTTGGAAACCACATCCTGAGGGATGTCTTGGGAACACTTCTCAAATCAACTGTTCTAGTCTGTCTGCTTTTCCTGAAATTTGTCCCTTGCACCCCAGCCTTGAGCCTTCCTTCCAGATAATCTAATGATGGCATCTCTTCTTTTTTTTCTTTTTGGTTTTTCGAGACAAGGTTTCTCTGTGTAGTTTTGGCGTCTGCCATGGATCTCACTCTGTAGACCAGGCTGCCCTCGAACTGACAAAGATCTGCCTGGCTCTGCCTCCTGAGCGCTGGGATTAAATGTGTGTGCCACTGCCACCCGGTGGCATCTCTTCTTCTATGTCCATATCAATGTCATATCCCTCAGGAGCCTTTTCTTAAGCACCATATTTAGAATTGCACTTCTCTGTGACACACTCAATTCTCTTTGTGGCTTGGTTTCCCCCTTACAGTACTGTATCTAACGTGTTATATGTTTTTACTGTTTATTTGGAGGCTCCCCTAATGTCCCTTGGTAAGAAACAACTTCCCTGAAGACAAGAATATTCATGTATTTGTTCACTGTTAATACATGTAATCATGGGCACTTCCAGGGCTGGTGAGACGGCTCTGGGGGTGACGGTGCTTGTGGCCAAGACTGACAAACAGAGTTTGATCCCCAGAACCCATAAGGTAGACACAGAGAACGATTCTTGCAAGTTGTCCTCTGACACCCCCACTGCTCCCCCAAGACACACGCCATGGCACATGTGCCCACCCCTCCCCCACAAATAAAATAAATCAATGTAGACTGGCATGTTCAGAATAGTACACACATATGCAGCCTAGAAGGATGTAACAGAAATGTGTTCACTGTACAAATGAGAGATGAAAAGAAATGTCATTTTCTACTACTTTTTTGCCTCACCTCTGGGGAGAAAGAACTATTTTTTCATTTGAGAAGCAGAATATCTTTAGTCAGGCTCATGAAGCATCAGTGTTGTATGGAAAGCTCGGGTGGAAACCTCTACTCCCCGGTAACAGGCTGCTCAGCAATGTCTGAAAAATGTACCTGGAAAATAGAAGCCATTCTTCTCACATCTGGCAATGACCTTCTGACCTCTGAGGGGATCTACTTTCCTGGATCTGACTTTCTTTGTTGGACACCCTTGTAATTTCTGCTCCTGAAAAAGACCAACGGTGAGAAGTGATGAGCAAAAGGTAACGTAGGCAGTAAAATCATGAAGAGAAGGGGACTTATATGTACCACACACTCATCCGGGACACCTCTGTCCTACATTAACTAAAGATCGTCCTTTTCATAAGGCTAACTTTGGCTCTCTATCTTTCTGTATCTCTCTGTCTCTCTCTCTCTCTACATATATATCTATATTATTTCATTCTAAACTAAAAATATATATTACATATAATTATATATTATATGGCTATATAATAATGTATATGTTATTTATAATACATAATTTATATAATATATAGTTTCCTTTTATCAATCAGTTATCCAATTCTTCCATTCTAAAATATACAGATTTATATACATATAATAAATATATATAATTTATAATAATATATAAGCAGAGAGACAAAGCCCTGGCACAGAGGGAACTACCATGTGGAGTCAGGAACTAAAGAAGAAATCTGACACATCCAGAAATATAGGCTTCAGCACATTGAATAAAATATCGCAGAATGTAGGTAGGAGAAGGGATAATGAGACCGATATTATCATAAAGTAGAATGAAAGTTATTGTTTAAATACGAAGAGTCATGACTTAGAGAGCAATCCAGTTTGAACCCAAGAACTAAAAGCCCACCTTTCATGGATGCTGCCTCTGAGGAGTGAGATTGGCACAGAAAGTGGAGGCCCGTTATCATCAGCATCATCTCTACATGACGTCACTTGTTGCCATATAAAGTATAATGTTAAGATTAAAGATCAGGCAGTCAGTTTCAGAGAGGAATCTGGGCTCACCCATGAAGTGCACATATGCAGGGGAAAAAAAAACATGGCAAATGCTCTGAGAATTAAACTCAAATGTACACCATTGTCCAGGACCCAGAGCACCAGACTAAGCCTTCGGTGATGTAAGTGAGGGCAACCCGAAGAGTAGATCAGGTTTTTGAAACTGAACTGATGTGAGAACCACTTCTAAAGGTTCAGAGAAGAAGAAAGTGCCCATAGAAGTAAAAGGGTAACCAAGTTTTAGTAAAAATGTTCAGCCTTCATCAAAGAGTTTAAAAACAAAATCTTGAAGCCCAATGTTCAAAATGTCCATTATACAATAAAAGTGTAACATAAGTAAACCATAAGCTGTGGCAAGTCTTCAGGTAAAAGGCCACCAGTAGGTCCCAATACTGAGATGACCTAGGTGTTAAAATGATGGATAAAGACTTAAAACCAGCAATTGTAACCATAGCCCAGGAGGCAAGTGTAAATACTCTTAAGTGACAACTTTTCTTTAAACAACAGAAACATATAAACTGTCAATGCTACACAATATAAGTGGAAATTTAAGAGAAAATAGAACATGCAAACAAACATTGTATCTAGTTAGTCTCCTATCAGAGGAAAGACCAGAATACTTGGAGACAAACTAACCAAGGACAGAGAGAAAACAGAGTTTTAAGAAGGAACAATGCCCATCTCCTGAACTAAATAACTCCTTTCTGGCCCAACTCAGTGACAACCTTCCAGGGATGAGGTCACTTTCAGGGAATTTCAGAAAAGGCAGAGGAAAAGACAGTTTTCTTATTTCTAGATGGTGTCATATGAGTTAAAGTTGCAGTGAATGTCTTAGCTATATCTACTACATGAAGAAACTAGTAACATTATCTTACAAATGTCAAAAAGAAGCTTTTAATTTTAATTGTGTGTGTGTGTGTGTGTGTGTGTGTGTGTGTGTGTGTGTGTGTGTGTGTGTGTGTTTGCAGGTACGTGCGCACATGTGCGTGCTGGGGTATGTACATGTAGGTATAGATATCCACAGAGGCCAGAAGAGCGTGTCAGATCCCCCGGAGCTGAAGTTATAGGCAGTTGTGAGCCATCTGTTGTGGGTAGTAGGAATTGAATTCAAATCCTTTGCAATAGTAGTACATGCTCTTAACCACTGAGCTATCTCCCAGCCCCAATTCAAAACAATTTTGAAAACAAATAATTTGGACATTTTCTACTTTTTTATTTCAAAACTTACTATAACCTATAGCAATGAAGAAAGTGTGGCATTAAGGTATGGAGAATCATATGAATCAAAGGAACAGTATTAAGAGTCCACTAAAAGGTTAATAATTATGGTCAATTAAAATTTTTACTTGGAGGGAAAAACTGATACAGTAAACTTACCATATGGCTGATAAATAGGCATTTTTGCTAATATAAATGGAATCTTATAACCATGCAAAGACTTACAAGCAAGTATTGATACCAGCATTATTCATGATGATAAAAAGGTATTCAAGTGTCTAGTAACTGGAAAGGTGATAAGCATAATGTGGTATACAATAAGATTGTATACAGCCACTTACATATGAACTACACAGAGAAAGCTAATTTACAGAGCTAGAAGTTGATTAATGATCACCTGGAGCTGAAGGTGTGACCAGATTTTAAGATGATGGCTGGAAAATGTGATGCGTGGCTTTAACTGTCAACTTGACCCAACCTGGAATCTAGGGAGAGAGTCTCAATTGGGGAGACCTTCTACATTGGGTTGGCTTTTGGACATGTATGTGTTGGGGGGAAGAGGAGGGAGTTGTCATGGTTGATTGAGTTAGTTGATTCGGGAAGACCCAGCCCACTGTGGGCAGCACCATCCCCTAGGCACTGGATCCTGAGCTGTGTGTTTGTTAAGAGTGGGAGAATGGAGCTGAGCAACAGGCAGACAAGCAAGTGAGCATGAACGCACTCGTTTCTCTCTGCTCTTGACTGTGGGTGTGATGTGAGTCTAGCTGTTGGGAGTTCGGGCCACTGTGACTCCCTTGCAGCGATGGACGGTAAGCTGGGACTGTGAACTGAAATAAAGCATTTATCCCTGAAATGGCTTTTTGTTGGGTGTTTTATCACAGTAACAGAACTGCAACTAGAACAACTGTGTCAAGTTTTGCTGAAAAACACTGAAATGAAATAGGTGAATTTCATGACATGTAAATCATACTCCCACAAATCTGCTTTTTTTGGGGGTGGGGGAGAAGGTAAAAATAGGTGGCCATTTGTTTCTGGCTTGCTCTATATAACTTCAGTCACAATGTTTTGCATACGAGGGAGTTAGAGAATATGCATAGAAGTTTCTGGGTCTATACTGAGCCACATCCTCAACCCTGGATCTACTTTTAAACCAAAACATGAACCAAATAGCCCTTTCCCACCTCCAACTTTCTATGCTGTAGAAGTTAGGGCCTTCTATCCTGGGGTGTTCCTTACTTTTTCCTTTGTCCTTCATTAACTTAGTAATTATTAGAGTGCCCATCAAAATCATTCTGCAGGTTCTCCTCTTTACAGACTGTCAAATGCCGCCTTCCTCAGGACACAAACTGCTAAACAGAAAATGGTTTTCACTGGCCTTTTGAGGCTGCCTTCTGCAGTGTGGAGCCATAAATTGTAGCTGTGAATTTGCTGTGCTATAATTTTATCACGAAGAAAGTATGCAGCACGATACTTTATGAGTTCACCTGCAGGCTCTCGCTTTGGGAGGTCTCTAATGCATGATGGAGATGACCCTAAGCATATAAATAAACCTTAGGCAGTTCCTGAGTCCTGACACATTCAGAACAGTTTGAGTTCTGTTAGTTAAGTGGCTCATCTCCTCAGTGCTGTGCCAGTGGGACATGTGCAGTCATTGGTCATTGCGATCTGTTTGCTGACGCTCTGGGGATTCACTAAAAGGAGTAAACATATGGTCTGCTTCTTCAGAGATAAAAATTCAGACATGGATCTTCAGCTGTGGACGATCAGTGAACTAAAGGTTAAGGACTCTTCAGTGGCCTGTGGGGTATAATCTAGTCCTTAGATTAGTGTTTCCTATAGTCTCCAAAGGTGTGATCCGAAATGTACAGTGCACACTGCTCATTTGTTATGATAGTCCCATCTAGCCAGATTTTGTGTCCCACCCATGCCCCTTCTTTGGAAGCTGTATATTCACTGATCTAATCAGTCTACCAAAGAGAATGGCCCAGCATCACTGGAAGCATTGGTAATATCAGTGGTGGATGCTACCTCCTTATTCCTGGGCTTTCATTCAGAAGAGAAACCTAAACCCTCATAGGAAGTCCAGAATAACCTTCTGCAATCTGAAAAAGGCCTTGGGAGGATAAGTCTGCACCAGGAAACAGATAATACATTTTCAAACGCTGCCTACCTGGCTGTGTGAACGGGTAGCATCTCTTGACCTTCCTAGAAAAACCACATGCTCTCAACCATCCTTTAACTTCATGTTTCTGTCTGGGAAGATCTACTTCTGCACTCTAGGAGATAGCTAAGCCCTGTGTGTACCAGGACATGGATACCAATTCGTTATTCATATTTTTAGTGCCGGAACTGAGAACATGAGTTCCACAGATTTCTTACCCACAGCATCCTGCAGGCCAAATTCCCTGTAAGCATCCTTGTGGAATACCCTAGTTATTCTTGTGGGTACATTGAGAGACTCAAACATACTGAGTTAACTCAGTGATGGCTTAAAAACCCCACCTTGATGTCAAGTTCACAATCTCCCTGCTTCTCGACACCCATGTTCATACAGATCAACCTGGCTGCCAGGGAGTCTGCCTGCCTCCAGAAAGACCACAGTCTGCTGTTACAAAAGAGTCACATGTGCCCAGCAATGACAGAGAGGCAGTTTCCAATGTAGGATTCATCAGTGTGACAAGCTGCTCATTAGAATCCATGTCTCAAGTCCTGTCTTCAGGTTCACAGACTGTCACAGCATTCATCTAACTAGACCTCTTTGACCTTGGGGTCCCAAGCTCTTAATGGTCCAGCCAGAAGGACATGTTTTTTTCTTTATTTTACATTTTTAAAGTGGGTTTGAGCTACAAATCTATGAAAGTCAGTTTGCCTAAAATACCAGGTTCTTTTCTCTTTTCTTCCCCATTGTAGTTCCTCAATTGCCAGTCCATCTGATGTTCATCAGCCTTTCACTCTGTGGAGACTTTCCCCCACAAGGGCAGCAAC